TGAAACTCTTCTGTACGTATAGCATGGTTCAAATATTAATACTGACAAATTAGATATCGTACTTAGTGAGCAGATTCTGTCATCTAGGCTTCATTTTGGCTCTTACTAAAAGAATATAATTTCAAAATAAAAGTTTAACTGACAATGATTAACACAATAAGAAAAGTTTAACATGATCAAAGCAGACAACGTAGTTTACAGCAATATTTAGTCTTCAGACACAACACCAGTGATACATGAATAAAGAATCAAATGAAGTCAAGAAAGAGAACAATATTCTTTGTTTAGTGGGACTAGTTTTCCCCACCACAGGAGCATCCTATTCACCGGAGTAGACTATGCAACAACCACATGTCCTAAAGGATCGAAACAAAAGGAAACAAAAACCAAGTGTTCCCTATCATTCTTGAGATGCTTGACTTAGAACCCCTTGTCTCACTTGGATGTACCTTTTAGGCCCCACAGCTAGTATTCAAGATTTCCTTGGAAAATGTGCTTACCTCTAACATAGAGCAAAGCTAATTCATTGTTGAAAGAAGTCTCTCGTACTTGACGAAGGATTACTGCATCATATTCTGCTCTAAATTAAGTTTTTACTATAGTCTACCATTGTTCTAATCGTTGAAGTAAAATCCTTTGCCCTATATAAACCCTTCAAGAAAAATGGAACATTTTCAATAAACTTTGCCCACTTCAATAGACACAAATAATTCACACAGACACACAAATTTGCGAAGCACATTACAAATTTAAAGAGACGAGAAGAGAGAGGAGAGAATGGCCACTGGAGCAGCTTACATGATGTTTAGGTGTGTCTTTGAGGGAAGCTTATCAATGTGCGACATGGATACCGAGCGGAGACCATATCATCGCAATTGCACATGCGCACTGCACAAACAGAAAGGCACCGGCTCAAATGCTATTTCACATAGGCGGACTATTTCATTCCAAAATAAAGAATTATGGAATAAATGTTCCTTAATATCCATATCAGCTTCGACCACCTCTTCTTCATCTTCTTGTGATGGCAACCCATCAGCTAGGAGTAGGGAGTGCAGCAATGAGACTCCAGGTAGGTTGTAGTTGCAGCTGCATACAATGTAAAAGGTCAGGAGCTGGTTTGTATATTGTTATTGCAGATTTTAGTCTCCAAAACTCCTCCGGGCAAAAAAATTGTCTACAGAGGAAGTTTTTTTTGTACATTCTGGTAAGTTCATATGAATATGATTTCTTCTCTAGACATTCACATTACAGAACAAGTTTATCAAGGGTTACTGACATACATTGCTATATCATGCGGGGTTTTTCTCTTGTAAAAAAAATATGCAAATAGCAAAACCAGAACAATATAGAGTACATTGTCATTCCACTTGCAGGATTTAAACCAGATAAGAAGTTTGGAAATTTATTTATTTATTAGACTTGAGTTTCGAAGTTCCCCTCGGGCATTGAGATGAACATGCTTGAGCCTGTAAGAATTACTTCAGTTTATGATTAAAATATGTCATGGTAGAATTAAGCAGAGTAGCAAGAAGCTCATTGTAAAGAAGGGAGATAAAATGGTGATCATTATTTTGTTACAAGCTCCACCGGTATCTCTCTCTGCCCCTATTTTTTCTCACCTTTCCCTCCGAAGGAAAGGACAAAATGGTAACGCCTTTTCCTAATATTTAATTTCCCATTTTTCCCTCAACATTATCAAAGTAAAATTTTGCCGTCGGCAGTCATGGTGAAAATGTCAATGTTGGTTGTTCCTCATAACCTCCCAACTTATCTGATTTCCCTTCTCTTTCAGAGCTTTTGTAACCGAGCAAAGGACAAAAGGTCATGCCTCTACTTACATTTTCAACTTTCTTTCCTCTATGTTGTCAAATTGAAATTTATGGCTTCAATTACGATGACAACATCAATGTCTTCATCTTTTTACAGCATAAATTATATATTTTGATAAACCTTAAGTGGACTCAATTCTCAACTTAACTTTGGAATCGTGAGAGGTTATAGATCAAAAAAAAAATAGAGAGAAACAGATGAAATAGTGAGAGGGAATAAATTGAATTGTGAGTTTATGTTAAAAAAAAAATCGTCGTCTATGTGGTGGCGATCTTTACTTTAATAAAGCCATCGTCTATGAGTGGGGACCTTTCACCTTCTACAATTTTTACACAAACTGTTCTTAATCAATGTTTATGCAGCGAATTTTGCATTGACGACAGTTTTTTATATGTTCCGATGTCTTTGAAGTGTTGTCTTTTAATAGTTTTCTTGTTAGGTTCTTTTCCCATATAACCTGGAAATTTTTCCTTCTCAACCAATATCTTCTTCTACTCAACTTTTTTTTTATCTCAAACTTCGAGTAGTGCGGGAATACAGGAAAGACTACCTTGAAGTGTATATACTACGAACAAAAATGTCAGCCCAGAAAGTCTCTACTGTAATATCGACAACATATCAGTATCAAGTTCATGAGCATTATCCCCAAAGACAAGTAATCATTATAAATAGCTACTAATACTTACATTTTAATCATCTCAAGAATCGAAAAATAATTGCAAAACAACTAACTAAGAGTTATTTTGACACATTTTCAAGAAATAGAACCTATCTGAAGAATGTCGAGAGAAAATGACAATGTGCTAAAATCATACTTGATTATGACAATAATATTAATGACTTTGGTTAAGTATATTGGACAATACTGGACTCCAGTCAGAAAGGAAGAAAAAAGAAGCTAAAAAGTTTATTTATATAAGACGTGCACATAAAGGATGATAGTTTTTCGGGACTGATGCACAGATACAAGTAATGAGCAACAGCGCAAGTTACTGTATAAAGAAAAGTGGCGACTAGTGGCGATCAAGCGTAAAAATGGAATAAAAATGAAGGTCAAATTAATCTAGCAACGAAAACCATTTTCCTGATTCTGATTAGGTCTTAATTCAGTGATATCCCTATAATTATTTGAAGCGACGAGTATGGAGCACTGCAACTCAACAGATGTCTTGATACTTAAATGGAGTGACCAACTGCCTCTCTTTAAAATTTGGATAGACAGTCACCAATTACCTTTAACATCAACATCACATATTTTACTAAAATTTATGCTGTTAATTGCAAAAATAACTTGCAGAGCTAGCAATACCAGATTCTATAGAACAAAATCACGGAGGTTAATTAACTAATTAAAGATATGTAATATCGTGGTTCTTGAGAATTCAAATGTCACTGGACATGAAGAAATTGCGGGAGGTTTCTGCTCTAAAATGCGGACAAATTTTGGAGACTGAAAGTAATGCTGAATTGCTTAAACTTTACTGCTTTTAGGTAGATTGTTAGTATGACCCGTTCATCTTTAACCAAAAGAGAAATCAATTTGGTAAGTAGACTCCATGAAAACACACATCGTTTAATATTACACAGTTCAGCGTACCAAACATGATAGTAGCAATTATATTTGAGATAGAACATAATTTTGGTCATCGAAATGTGCCACGGTCAGATCAGATTTCAACGAGAAATTTCCGCTCTTCTTTGGTGGCTTGACTTATTGGAATTATAGAAAAACTTCTTCGCGTGGACGATATACATACGAGGTAGACCACATGCTCATCTTTAACCAAAAGAGAAAAATCAATTTGGTAGGTAGACTACATGAAAACACACATCTTTTAATATTAGTATATTACACAGTTCAGCGTACCAAACATGATAGTAGTAATTATATTTGAGATAGAACATAATTTTGGTCATTGAAATGTGCCACGGTCAAATCAGATTTCAACGAAAAATTTCCGCTCTTCTTTGGTGGCTTGACTTATTGGAATTACAGAAAAATTTCTTCTCGTGGACGACATACGTACAAGGTTTTTATCCCTCTTGTATAAGGTGCATTGCCATAGTCTCTTTCCCCTTTTCCAGGCTACGCAGCATGGATTCGTCTATTGACGAATCGGATCTTTGCTTGCTGTCCCGCCAACGAACCAATCTTAAGTTCTAAACAGCTATTGACAAATTAAATTCAGTACTTCATTAGCAAGAAGATTCCTTCATCTAGGCCTCATCCTATATACATGAATACAATGAGATTTCAAAATAAAATTGTCAACAGCAGGCTATACAACGAGAAGGCACCAAGACATTGATCAAAACTGTTATACAAATTACAAACTGAAAGATTACTGATCGAAACAGATCTCAAAACCCTATTACATTCGAAATCACCCTAATACATGAAACTATGAAGATCACCACTGAACATCAAAGTATCACAGATGTATACGCTCAGAACATCAAACCTAAAACCCCTTCAACAGCGTAAGCCCAAATCCACCAGAAACCACCACAGTCAAACCGTAAACACAAAGCTACTACAATGAGACAGAGGGATTAAAGACTACCACTCTAAAGGCCTTACAAACCCATGGATTTCACTAAGAAACAACTCAAGAAACTAATTCAAGAGAAATCCTCACACAGAAGACGAACCAGAGAACACTCAGAAGTCTCCAGAAGAAAACGAGAGAAAAGAGAGTGAATCGAATGAATTCCAAAAACGTTTAGAATCTTTCAAATATCTCAACCTCAAGATTAGGCAGATCCAATCCGACGGCTTAAAGCAGCAAACTTTTACTTTAGTTTGGACCGAGTTCTGGGCCTGGTTTCACTGGGCTTACTTCAGTTGGACAGGTTAGACGGTAATGGGCCAAAGCCAATCATCATTACCCTTAAGTGAACTGAATATGGCATCACAGCCCACAAAAATAATAAAGAAAATCTTTTGAAATGTTCCATTAATATAATAAAGCTGAAAATGAGAACCTAATTTACTGCATTATTTTATTCTCCATATACGCCATCTGTAGATCCAAGAATGACGAATCAAATGAAGTCAAAACAGAGGACAAGATTCTTTGTTTAGTTGGGCTAGTTTTCCCCCCACCACATGCATAACATTAAAATGGCAGCGTCCCATTCACCGGAATAGACTAAGCAACAACCATATGTCGTAAAGGCCAAACGAATGGACACAAAAACCAAGTGAACCTTGCCATTCTTGAGTTTCTCTTGTCTTTTATTCCCTTTTATTTCTCTTGGACATACCTTCAAGGCCCCACAGATAATGAGCAAGGTTGTCCTTAGAAAATGGGCTTACTTCTAACATAGAGCAATGCTAATTCAATGTTGAAAGAATTCTCTTGAATTTGACGCAGGATCACTGCATCATATTCTTCTCTCAGATTAAGTTTACTCTTGTTCTAATCATTTAAGCATAATTCTTTGCTCTATATAAACCCTTCAAGAAACCTGCTACGTTTTAGGGCTGGACAAAACTCTCAAACCGAACGCGGTTCTTCATAAGTCAAATACCCGAATGGATAATTGAATCGAGAACCGACGGGTTTGGTTCGATTCTCAGTTCTAGACTCGTAATCGAATAAGAACCGAATTTAAATATTTTTTTTAAAGTTTTTATATTGAATTAATTAAATTATTTTAATTTTTTCTAAACAAACAAATTAACTAATTTAGTGATTAATGCTCTAACTCCCAAGTCAAGTCCATGCCTAGCTAGCACAACCTAACCCAATTTCTAAATTCAATTTTTGATTTAGTTTTTGTGCTTAATTATTAATTTCATTCTTAGTCCTAGATATTTTTAAGTTTTTATCATTCTCTTTCCAATTTCACATTTTCATTCAGTAAACACTAAGTCACTAACCCCAAATCATTTGATAAATTGAAAACCTACATCTACATGCCCAAATCGAAACCGTCGACTGCCAAGTTTGACTTCCCCTCTCCAACCGCCTATCGAAGCTACGACATCTGACCACGACCACCAATCGTTGACCATTAGAAATCTATTTAAAAATTTAATTATGGTACGGAATTGAGCATAGCCGAACCAAACCAATCACGAACGGTTCCATTTATTAAATACCCGAAAATTTTGGTTCAGTTCGATTTTGAAGAGAACCGAATCGGATCATGTCCAACCCTACTACGTTTTCACTGAAACAGACAAATTGTGTAAACGCCTTAAAAAATTTAAGAGGCGAGTGAATAAAGAGGAGATAATGGCCAATGCAGCAGCTGATCTGATGTTTCAGTGTGTCTTTAAGGGAAGTTTATCAATGTACGACATAGACATTAATCGAAGGCCATATCATCAGAATTGCACATGTGCACTGCACAAACAGAAGGGCACCTGCTCAAATTCTGTTTCACGTAGAAGAAACATTTCGTTCCCTAAAAAAGTAATATGGAGTAAATGTTCCTTACTTTCCGTATCAGCACATTCTCTTCTCAATTTTCTCATTATGGTGATTCACCAGTAAATGAGGGTTCACAAGGAAAAAATGTAAATACTCTTCAAACGTTTTTTTTTTCTTTTTTTTTTTAAATATTATTTGCTCTTTTAACCTTTTCTGCACTCTTTCCTCTATTAGAATTTAGATCAAGACAAAATACTATTCCTAGTAGCGAACTGGCTGCCATTATAGACGGAGATATAGAATATGAACATATTTTCGCGAATAAAGAATTTTCAGTTTGGCAAAGTCAAATTTGTTGTATTGGAAGCACAACTTTGATATCATAAGACAAATGCAGATTTGCATAGTTTATTGTCCATACGCGACTGACTACATTGCCAACTTGACCACCACCTTGTACTCCTCAAAATATTACTAGAAACAAGGAATCACTTGTCCTTTCCTCCTCGGACGACAAGGGGTCATTATTCTCTCCGCCGATATGTTAGCATTGATTTTTTGACTGAAACGTGGATTACAAGAAAAGCGCACACTTGCACACAAAAAAAAAAAAAGCACGAAGACAAAATAGAGGTCGTAATTTGATTTCTTCATAGCTGGGAACTCCTAAAACTGACAAAACTTGTTGATTCTTTAAGACATTAAAATTTCCAACCACCGAGTAGAAGATGAGGATAAAAAATTGGAATCCATTTCGGAAAATAAAATGATTAGAAAACATCGTACACAACCTGCGGAGTTGGAATTAAAAATGTATGGTGACCACAATTTCCTTTGATTTCTAAGTAGCTCCATAGTCAAGAAAAGCGGACTCCTTGGAGAGGAAACAGCTTGTTTCAATTGATTATAGTTAACGGAAGGGATCTTGCTACGTGTACATAATGTGTACATAATGTCACATGTCATTCTATCATTTGTTAGTTTAAAATACAGTCAATTTTTTCATCTAATCATTTTCCCCCCACATCATATTATGTAACATTTTATGTACAATCTTTATGTACAAGTAGCAAAATCCTAATGGAAGGATATAACGTGTCTCCAACTTTGGTAAGAACTAAAATAAAATCTTACATTTGGATAAAAAAATCCAGCCCAAATTATGATTGGGCCAGATATCTGATCTGAAGAGTGGGATTTGGATAAGAGAGATTTAAGGCCTGTTTGGTACAAATTTTTATTTTCTACAGTAAATCAATTCTCATTTTCAACCACACATTCTTCAATAAAATAATATTTTCCATCACATCAATACTTTTTTATTCTTTTTCAACCACACATTTCTCATCTATCACTATTTAAAAATCAATTTTTCCCCCCAAAAATCCCTACCAAACACACTCTTACTATATCCATGTGATTTATGTCCCATATTAATATGAAGGAATTATTCCTTATAAATAATAGTGGAACCAATGATACGAAGTCAAAAAGGGATTCTAACTGAATGGGGTCGAGAAATTCTTTTGAGCTTTGGACAATCCATTCTAATACGAAAAACTTTACTATGTTGAGAAAATATTTATTTCCTAACGAATTAATTAGTTAATATGATTATGATGAATATTTCTTAATTTATAAGGAACAAAACATATCTTTTTGAATAAGAGATTGAATAAATCTCGATTGTATTGAAAATCTCGATTGTATTGAAAATCTCTTCACCTATCATCATTGTAATTCCACCTCTCCAGTCAAAATTTGCAACTTTTTGTTGTCGTAGGGCTGAATATGGTCCGGTTTGGTTCGATTATCTTTACCCAAATTTTCACGTATTTAGTAAATGGAACCGTCGGGTCCAAATTAATTTATGGAATCATTCGGGTTCGATTCCATTCGATTCAATTTGGTTCGATTCCTGAGTTTCGTATAATTATTACTATTTTTATATTTACAACAACGCTACATAAATTCGTCTATGATTGTTCAATTTTAACTCTTACAAAATAACGTAAACAAATTTCGTGATATCTTCTACATCTTTCTTTATTAAATTCTTCATAAACTTGACTGTTAAAATCACATGAAGAGGAAGGTGACTAGTTCACAATAATAGAACTGTAGAAACGACCCTACGGTATAATAAGATATTTGGGTAAAACTTAAATCAATTTGATTAAGTTGAGTTTGACTGGAAATTAGAAATAGTGAAATTATAATTTGGGTTTAAACTAAATTAATTATATCCTTTGGAATGGAATATCCATCCCGTCTTAGAAGGCAATTGCTTGAGTACTTGGAGCACTACTAGATGGTACAAGAGACCACGTCAAATCATTGAATTAACTTGGATTTTATTTTATTTTTTTGTTCTTGTTCTGCTTTGTGTCATAGTATGGTCCACTTAAATTTTTAGTATAAATTTTTGGCATATTATTTGAATACATTTTCGTAGATTTCAATCTCTAATTGAAAAGATAATTTCTCGTAGAGTTTAGTGAGATGTATTTCTACTCTCAATGAGCATATAAATAAGAGTTAAATGATATTTTTTCTGTCCCATTGAAATATGTTTACTTCCTTATTCGTGCAGATTAAGAAATTATAATTAATATAGTTGAAAATATAAATTTTCTCGAGTTGTAAGAGGGGTTTTGTTTTATTTTGCTACTCTCTCTTGAATTGCATGAAGTATTCGTTTTAATATAGAGGTGTTATCTGTCCGAATATTTAAGTAGTGTTACGATTGTAATAAAAAACAAAAAAAATTATGTTTGAGGGTGTCAAGTAAATTAATCGCATAGAGCCTCCAAATTCTCGGGATAGGCCCTGTTAGAAGCTTTTGTTAGAGATCAAACGTGGAACTAAATTCTAAGACGTTAGACCAAATTTGTACTAGGTGAAACGGACACGACTAATAATGTGAAAATAATTAAACCTGTGGAACACGAAATATGAATAGACTTTAATTTATTACCGGAAATGTAGCTTTCCCAAGAATGAATGAATGAATACATTAGTCGCCCAATAGAGACAGGCATGCATCATCGAAATCTAGCGTGTTACTTACTTCAATCTCCGTGGTTTCATGCAGAAAAAACGGGAATCTTGATTCAGAATATTATTT